TTGCTCCTGTTCTGCCTTCTTGTATAACCCCTATTTTATATGCAAGCATTTGGTGAAAAAATATTCAGCAGAACATCCATCTTTTTTTCCACAGTTTCTTACCACTATGTGCCATCATGACTATCCTTTCCTTTCTTTTGAAATATGCCTTCCAAGAATTAATTTAAACAATAATCCTTGGCATAACGTCCAACAAAGTAACATCAAATTTCACCCCATACCAGTAATATTAGATAGTCATAACTTAAGTATAATAGTCCATAAACGGCATAGAACTATTGAGAATAGAAGAATAGAGCTAATCTCTGACATGGAAAATTTTGAAACATTAGTAAAAATTATAAGTGATAATGTTGAAAATGATAAACTTTACGAGACTTATACAACCCTTAAGCAGCCTCTTATCAACGAAATCACAACCTGTAATATGGTTCTTAGAGCTAGAACACAGCAACAAACTTTTAAACCATCAAGAAAAGGAAAATTAGCCTTTTGGCTTCAATAGAACAGTATTATTAATGTAATAAGTAAATAATTCGTACTTAGTAGTTAAACCTTTGCCATTATAAAGATCTTTCCGTTATATTAATGTAATAAATAAATAATTTGTACTTAGTAGTTAAAACTTTGCCATTGAGAAGATCTTTCCGTTATAATAATTTTTGTAATTCGTTTTCTCTTATAAGTCTTGTACATATAATAAGTTATTATCGATAATTCTGTACTCAATTTTTGATTATGATTATCATGTTACACATTTTTCAATTCCGATAAGGTCGGAAACGGTCGGAGATCACGTCACCGCGACATTTTTTCGCCATGACTAACCTACCTTAGAGTTGAGGCACGGAGGCGCGATTTCAAATCATCACATGGACACGAGCTCGTGATGCTAAATCATCACATATAAATTACTAATAACAAGTGATGTTTTACTAATTATTTTTATGTGATGTTTTAGGGTGTTATGCCGTGCCCAACCATAGTCACGCCGGGTACTCGCGCCCGTATTTTATAATTTCCGGAGTTAGATGATTTATAGGACGAAACCGAAGATATTTCTTAAAAATTCCAAATGTTGAAGCTACGAAAAAGTCTGTAAAATTTAATCCAAGACTTTGTACGTTTTACAACATTAACGTGATAGCCCAGTGATGCATTACAAATGCGGCTATCGCACTAATTCGAAAAGAGCGATAATTCAGGAGTGATTATAGTTTTTAAACTTCTTGCTTCATACATATTTTCCAGATATAGTGAAGCATGTAAATTCCAAATTTGTCAAAAATAGAGTGTCTTATCGACGTTAGTTGTCACTATCAGGTGTCTGTTGGTTAAAAATTGATGCAGTGGGTTTAAATTTTGTATCGGTTGAAATGCAAATAACTGCAAAAAATTAAGTTTTTTGTTAATCTTTGTTTTTAAATAGTTTATTAGTTTTATACATCTTTCATTTTAAATTCCTTGAAGAAAACTTTCTGTATTAGAAGATGATGTCCGATACACATGCTCTATTCAAATTTTCTATTTCTTTAATAATGTATGTACGTACAAATAAATATAGATGTAGCATAATACAACAATGCAATAAAAAATATATATATCCAAATAGATACAAGTTTGATTCGAATAGATTCTTTCACTTCCTTATAACTATCCACTTCATTACACTTCGACCTCGATACTTTCTCCATTATTATTCCTTCACTTCAATTTTTTCCTCTCCTTTACTTTTCGTTTCATCATTTTTCTCTTCTCCCTTGTTATTATCTCCCTTTTCATTTCCTTCCTCTCCTTCCTTTTTAATAAACAAATTAAGTATCGATTGAACAGTTGTAAGAAAAATCATAAAAGAAGTTAAACATAGTGTAAGGAACGGAATAATGCTATAAGTCACAATTAATTTAAAATATAAAATCTATTCAAATAAAAAAAAAAATTTGAATAATAAATTATTAATTAATGTAATTGATGAGTAAACAAATAAACAATTAAACAATTAACAAACAAAAACTTTACCTGAGTAATTAGCTGTGGAATACTTTTAAGTAAAATATCAGCAAACCCTCTATATTTAGCTGTAGCTTCAAACTCTTTACCACCAAACATTTCTTTAAGCTGGCTTTGGTTTATAAGTAGCAAAGTTTCACTATTATATAATGTTAAAACAATAAGTATCAAATTCATAAGATTGTTTCCATTGAATCCCCTTTTGCAAATAATATAGGTAAACACAGTGATATTTATTATTAATGGAGTAATCCAGAAGATTTTACTATATAAAAATAAAATGGTTAATTTAAATATAAAAATTGATTTAATTTTCAATAAAGGAAATTAATAAAACACCTTGACAAGCTGAATACCGGGTAATTGTTAACATCTTGAAAAGAAAATATGCTTGATAAACTTGTATGAGAGGCTGTGAATAATCCAGCTGTGGCTGTATTCAACATTTGTTTGTATTTGTCAGGCACAGGCTATCAAATATATTCACAGTAAAAGATTTTATTATTTACAATATTAATAAATAAAAGTCATTCGAAAAAAGTTTTCAAATTTTACCTTATTGGATCGAGATGCTAAGTAAAGTATAGCGTTCACTGCTGCAGCAGTTATAAAAGGAATAATTTTATCTTTGTAATCGCCCAGTATACTATTTGGCTTTTGAAAGCCAAATTTTTCATCTAAATCGTTTGTTATACCATTGGAAAAAGTGGTGACTTTCTTATTCCTGATCATATCATTTATATCTGAGACAATCGCTGGAACTGTATAATTTTTATCTAGCTTTGGATAAGTTTTATTTATATGGATAGAAAATTGAACACTGTCAAAAATATAACGAGTAGATCCGTATATAGATAGAAGTTGACGTCGGCATGGTAACTTTGTAGCAATATCTTGTAATAGCTTTTCAAAGTATAGTGTTTGATTGGCATCAGGGAGATTGTTAAATGTTTTTGATGCATCCACAGTAAGACGAGCGTCAAATATAGCAGCTTCCTCTATAAAGAGGAGTAAGAATTAGTAATTTGAAAATTTTAAAGCTATGAGGAATCCTATATTAATTTATTACCTGAAGGACGTGGTCTTTTTACTAAATTATATAAAAAGATTAATTGAATTGTAAGAAAATAAACTAAAGAAAATAAAATTAAATATAAAAAATAGAAATTATTACTCGATTTGTAATTCAAAATATTTTCATCAATTCCAGTTAAAGGTTCATAGAGCTTTTCATCTCTGACAAAATTAGCATCCATCTGTACGTAATAAATTTCACCGGGTTCATTAAATGTGCTGCCAATAATGTCCATATTGACAATCGTATGATTATCATCTATAGTTCTAACATAGTCATTCATTGTTGCGATAATTTTTTGCCTAATTGAATTGTCAGAAGCTTTGTAAATGGTGATAGAGCCGGTTAACAAAATAACAGGACTTAAAAAGGTAATATTTAAGGCATCTGTATTTCCATCGATAGTGCCACCAATACTCGTAAGTGTTGTATTAATGGGTGCTGGTTCAATTTTAACTACTTGAAGATTACCGTAACCACTATCTAAATGTTCCCATTACAAAATATACAAAGTAACAAATATTAGATAATTAATAAAGATGTATTAATAAACAGATTAATGTAATAAAGAAACATATCACGACCATGCAAAACCGGAGGTAATGGAATCTTGTACAGAGACCACGAAGTCATTGTAGTTGGTGTGGATGACGCGAGCATAAAAGTATTATTATTCCTCATAATACCATTTGCGGCATTAAGATTATTCTGATTAATATTATTATAAAGAGCATTTGCTGCATATTTATTTGTAAGATAATAACTTCCTCCCACTTGTTCAATAAAATTGTTGTTTTCATCATACGCCCAAATATAATAATTGTAATTTTGATTCATAGCATAAAATATATAACCACCGAATGCCATTGCTTGCATTCCAAGACCTTGAGATGTGATCCCAGTTTTGCTACGGTCAGGCATATGTGATAATAAATCAATTTTCGTTACCGATGCGGATGTTAAAAATTTAACTTTTATATAAGTTGATTGCGTTTCATTATGACTAATTTCAATTATACATATATAACCGATATCATTAGGTGCTATATCACAATAAAGTCCAACAAAAGTTAAATTGGGTAAAGTTAATTGATATAGAAGAACTTGGTCATTTGAGACTGACTGATTATAAGGTATAGTGGTCATATACAATCCGGCTAGTGTGGTTAATGATGAAGTATTATTCGCCGCCAATGACGAGTTGACATTCAGTATAGCATAGTCGCCAGTTATAGTGGATATTGTTGTGATAAGCATTATAACTAGCATTCGGATCAATTATTGAAATATTATTACTTGTCAGTTTTGATATAATTCCAGAATCACTATGTAGTATAATAAATATTAATAGTTATTATCGTTATGAAATAAAATAATTAAAGCAATAATAATTATAATTAAATTACACTGAATATTGCTGCCATACTGTCCAATTTGAATAAAACGGGTACGTATTGTAGTAAATTACTGTAGTGCTAAGTCTAAAAAATCCTTATTTCTTGTTTATATTTAGCTGAATTATACTTCGTGGACTCCAAATCGGAGTGCTAGAATTGCCATTAGGATAACTGTAAGACGGACCATAATGCACTTCACTATTTGCAAAATAATATATCGATATTAGTAATGGTAATGTTAACCTAAAATAATCATAAAATTTTACAAACAAAAATCATTGTCACACCTTACATTTCTACCACTCCAATCAATGACATTTCCCCATTCTTCATAAGTTTTAGGATCATTTAAATCCGGGGCTTTCACATAATTTATTAGAATATACGGTTCATATAAAGGAAATATCGAAATAGGATTTACTGGATTTCCATATGAATCATTAAATATACAATAATTCACAGGATCAAGGCTCAACTGGGGATTAATTTCTTTAATGGTTCCATCTAATTGAATTAATCTTAGCCGTAATATTTGTTCTAACCTCTGTCCAGTGCAATTATATGATTGCGCTTGATTTCCTGATATTACTTGGTTGTTTTGTGTAATTTCCCGTGCAATACTGACAAGAATTACTCCGTCATCATAAGTTTGAACGTTTACTATTTGCGGTGGGCTAAGAGGGTATGAGGTACCTGATATACTCTCTGCATAGTTAATGTAGGTAATGTTGTCAGAGGAATTTGTTTCTGAATTCGACGATATTATAAGAATGCAAAGAGTTGTCAAAAATAAACATTGGTAAATAAATTTACAAGGACTACTAGTTAATTTCATCATTTGTTACTGTTAATTAGTTATTGCTAATTTTTTTTAGAAATTTTAAGAAAATTTAATGTTAGAGAGTCAAATATAATGGCGAGCTGCTATTTAAAGATAAATTAAAATATGTACAAAACTTGCGTATTTGACCAAATGGAATTTTTTACAACTTGAAACTGTTGTATTTAAATTTAATATATCCGTATTTATAAAGGTCACTTACTCACATACTACTTTTTATTTTTAATTTATTAAAATTGATTTTATCCATCGATGATTTATAGTATGCCATAGTTATATTTGCTTAAATGTGTATATCGGGTTATCATTTAACTCCAAAAATTAGGGTGTAACCCCATTATGATTCGTTTATTGTACCGGATGTTTCAAAATTTCCAATACATGGTCCTATTTTTAAGTGACCTTATATAGAGATCGTGTAGATTATTTATACAATTATATATATTTGCATAAAAAATAATCGTGATCTTTATATACAAGGTCACTTTAAAAAAAAGGACCGTGTATTGGAACTTTTGAAACATCCGGGTAGCATATTGTTAAAATTAATGTGATAGTTTTCTGATTCCGAATTCGATTAGTGACGTTCGGAGTTCAAACAGAAATAGAATTTTTTTAAACTCTAATATACTTTCGAAATAAGTTGATTCTGAATCACCCTGATATATATAATTTAACTAATTAAAAATCTAGTTCGTAACTTATAGATTTTATATGCACTCTCACGACTCTCATTTTGTAGAACCCCTAGTATCTAGTATAACCGCCAAATCAAAATTTGATACTCAGCCAGACCTCGTAACCCAGCAGAAAACGAAATTTTCAAAATTGAATTTACAAAACTTAATTAAAATTTTTTTTTTGATCCTAGAACGCCGGTGGCTTACTTTAATTAAATTTTAATTATAGTACAGTAGTATAAAATTTTTATTGTGTAAAAAAAGAAAAAGCCATATTCGTTCGAAATTACTCAGTCCCTTTATTATCTAACTTTACATAAAATATTCATAAATTTCGAATTAATTACCAATAAAAAGTATTTTTGTTTTGTTTATGGCGGTTTTTGAAAGTTTTTTTATCTGGTTCAAATATATTTTATCGCTACCGTCTTTTGCTTTGAAATTTGATTCAATGTTTTTCAACAATTTCTTTTGCTGCAGAAGATTATATTGCTTTTCAAGAAGGTCAAACGCCTATACCAGAGTAGTATCAATATTAGATACTTATATTATTATGCTGTATATTTAATTAATAAAAAATAATAAGCTAGCCTCATAAGATATTGTCCGATAATTTCTAATCAATCTCATTTTTCTTCATTTGATTCGTCATCTTCTACAACATTATTGTTGTCAAAAACCGTTGAATTAATTGTTATAGAAGTTATGCGTTATCAAGTAATATGCAAATTTCTCACATATGGCTTTTCAGCTCCTTCAAATAATGGATAATATGAATATTTAGAGCCTAAATTGAAAATCATTAATATAGATATATATAAATTTATGTTTCTGAGTATCTATCTATCGCCTTTCAGGGTCTTACAATTCAATTGCTATTAAGTTTGTATGTTATTTATTGATGTTGCTTCCTAATCTTCGATTTTATTTGAAATTATAATTACATTAAGATCCATTCATGTTTCTTATTCTTCAATATAGTTAATAAGTTTTTAATAAACTACATCTTTAAGATCATCAGAAATCCATATTCTACTCTTGAAGTTTCCAGGTTTGCCTTTATTTTGAAAAGAAGTGACAGGGTGATCATTATTGCGAAATCAGATGACTTTATCAGATCATTCATTGTTTTAACTTTTTTAGAAGGTAATAAAATTATTGAGGCTTTGAGGCTTTGAGGCTTCTTGTCAAATGAGATAAATTCCAGTTTTTTTTTTTGTGATTGCATATGATTGTTTCAACTTGGCGAAATGCTATTTGTTCGAGGAACGTATAACGTGAAGTAAGGGGGTTTTCAGATTTTCCCAGTGTGATACTAGCTGGGCGATGGGGCTGTTAGATAGGCTGAAGATCGAGTTGTAGAGGAAATTATCTTTCTTTTCGCTATCGCTCGTCTTGTAGTGAAGGCCAGCTTGGTCATCTCACCACTACAGCACATTGTGCAATGACTTGCTCTAGTTGGCGATCTAATGGGCACAGGCGAGTAGTATTAGGCGCCGCGGCTGCGATAGCTGTGCAAGAGCCTCATAATTGCTGCAATAGCAGTGCTAGGACTTAATAGTCCCTACTATATAACCGATTCTCTTTATAACTATGAGACCTCTCTGCGAAGGTGTGAAGCTTAATGAGTTAGCTCGAGGTGGCTTTATATGGGGAGATGACAAGAGATTGATACGATAACAGTTTTAGGGTTATGAATGCATCGAATTGGTTTTGGTCTAGGTTAATTGTTTTGATATGATAAGTTAGGGTTTCTAATATATGCTCATTAAAGATGCGCAATATGCATTATGCGATGCAAGTTGCTTAAAAGTTAAAAGTGCACATAGAAGTTATTATGTAATTTTGATCTACATCATTTTACCAACAAGCACTTTATAGATAATTTATTCACTGGCAAGATTATTTTATAGACACATTCGCTATAAGTTAGGTTTTAATAGATCAAACACTCTAATTATATAGTAAATAATACAGATATATATTAGGTTTAATACGTAATATATTATATATACACACACTAATAACTATAATATTAATATAATTCAATAAAAAAATACGTATACTATAATATAATATTTATAAAATTAATAATATAGTTATTCTTCTTTATAGTCAAATTTTATATAGTTACATCTCGTTTATAAACCCTAATTTTATTGGTAACTTATTTATTTAAAAAACAATTTTATATAACCATATTACTATTAAAGTTATATAATACCATTATTTTTATATAAAACAACTATGTAATTATAGAGAATGACAACTGTATATGTAGTATTTGGTATATTATTAATAATTTTTTATTATTTTTGTAACTATTTTTTATAGAAAAAATATTTGTTACTAGTATATAAAATTGTAGTATTTTATTGTTTAGTTTTTTTAATAATGTTTTTATTAAATAGAATTTTAAATTTGTAGCTAGAGATATAAATAAAAAATTTTATTAAAATTTTCTTAATTAACTAAAACTTCTAGTATTTTGCAATAAATTTTTGATTTGTATTATTATATAATAAGTAAAAGTGTATAATGAAGTGTATAGTTAACTGCTATCTAGAATAGTATAAACAAAACTTTGCATTTGATTAAATATTAAAAATTTATATTACGGTCTTATATTAGCATGACATATTGCTATTAAGCAGAGTATTTGTAAACCAATAGTGCCAATTTTGACAATTAATAAATATTATTCTTATTTAATATAAGTAATTAATAAAGGTAATAATAAAATCAAAAATTAGAAAATTAAAAAAATATTTAAGTTAGATTATTATTATTATTATTATTGGTATTAAGGTGACCTTT